AGACGTGTACGTCTTTGGTTGCTCAAACCACAATATCTACGTCAATTCGGAGTTTTCTTCCAAAGTTAATCCGACTTAATGTATTGTTAGAATTCGGCAACAAACCCCACGTTCATAAGTATGGATTCTTCTATGTCTTGATCAATGTCATACTGACTACAGCATGTTCTAAGTCTCACGGGTGAACGGGGGGCCAGTCGTCGAAACGCCACAATGTGCTGTGCAGAGTTGCGTCCCTTAGTGGAACCAAACATCTATGATCGAAGATCCCTAATTATGTCTCTAGGTCACCGCCCTAACCGTGCCCTTGGGTTTCACCAAAGTAGTAACACCTAAGACCTATATCACTTCCGACATCTGGATGGCACGGGTATACTGTTAAAATCGTTAAACTAAACACACTCACTCACTCACTCACGCTAGTGCAGTTCAGTAAACTAATAAAATATAAGACTAAACCAATTTGTCATCGAAAAGCAATACAATGAAAGAAGTTCCAAATAATTACACCAGTAACGATTTTACTTGTTTCTCTTAGGGAAGAGCAAACATGGTAATTGGGATATACATGTAGAACATTCAGAAGAAACCATTAGGCAATATGTGTTCATTGTCACTTTTTATAGTTACAATAGTGCTTTTTAAGATTGGTTATCGCTTTTGGTGTCAATGAACTCTCTCATGATTAACAGACCGCTCAGGCAGCCGCCCGTCATCGAATACGCAAATCAGTGCCCTCCCTATCCGCGTGAACACGCCTAAGCACTGTAATCTGGAATTTAACGATACCGTTGCTTCCACGATCTTCACCAAGTACACATATTTAGTATGCAATTTAAGAGATGCACATATTGGTTTTTTGGGTAGATGGGGTGGGGGTTAGTGCCACTTTAACAGTGTTTCAGTCATATCAAGGAGTTCTGTTTTACTTAATGCCAAGTTATGCCGGTCGGCGACATTTACCATTTTGGGCTGAAATCTACGATCACGTGATCACACCCACCCCCAATCAGGGAATATCAGTGTACAGCAACCTTAGGTACTGTAACCCTCTTGCCCAACTTTGGAACTAATGGTGCACATGTATGACACTTGTAGCTTGAAACCCAGTGTGTATCTCAAACATGGTTGACTGGAGGTTTTTGCTGATAATGAAGAAGGCGTCCTTACTGGTCAACTGGTTTCTTAACTTTAAAATGTTCGGCTGCTTTTCTAATGTTATTTAGAAAGTTTAACTTATGTATTAAGAGTTCATGTTAATTCAAATGCATAATTAAATGATGTCATCGTGATAAAAAGTATTAAAAGTGTTTGACTGATGTCCTAAGGATATCTCAAATGTTTGATGGGAGGTCACAATCTGGTATATCTATGTGCTTGCACGGTTGGCTCAGTCGTCTATGCCGATATCATGCGCCCCTTAGAAATGGCAAATGTCGCAATTAGTAAATATAGTAACTCTAAAAGATAACATCAACCACAAACATGGATGCCATTTGCTGTGCACATGTGTGTCCATTGTCGTGCCAAGACCCGCTGTTCGTGGGTTCTTATCCCTGATTCACCGTGATTATGATTCAAGGATTGTCAGACCCACACCCTTGCTCTTGGGTTTCAAGTGGTGACCCAAGACCTGAATGACTTTGGACTTTCCTTTTACATCAAATTGACACGCCGTGATCAAACTGAAATACTATTCAAAGAGGCCGTCAACCAAACTTACTCTAATACTGGTTCATTTGTGTTGGTTAGTGAGACAGACGGGTCTATAAAACAATAAATTCAGACAGCATCACGGCTGGACCAGACAATGCAGTGATTGATATCATGAGCATCGATCCACGCAATTGGGATACGATGACATGCATCAACCAAGCCAGCGAGCATGACCCCCCTATCCTGTTAGTCGCCTCTTATGGGTTGATGAAGACTTGGATCTAACGGGAATAGAGTTTAACGTCATACCCGAGTATTCACATGTCATAGGGGGCACGGGTGGCCCAGTCGTCTAAGGCGCCGCGATTCGCTATGCAGAGTTGCGTCCCTTGGGCACGCCAGAAACCTTTGATTGTGGGTTCGAATCCCGGTTTGCCCCGATTATGTTTCTAGGTTTGTCAGCACCATACCCGTGCTCGTGGGTTTCACCGAAGTGGTAAACGACTGAGACCTGCATCACTTCGGGCTTTCCTCCCACATTAAGCTGACACGCCGTGATATAACTGGAATACTGTTAAAAGCGGCCTAAAACCAAACTCACTCACTCACTCACATGTCATAATTACCTTGAGGTTTGGTGAGATGAGGTGTGGTTGCTTATACTAGTCAGGACTAATGCCGATTTTATTGTGCTAGCCCACTGAGCCCAAGAATACCCCACTCAGACACAGTATTCTGACTCCGAGCCGATTAGTGCTTGTTTCACCCCCTTAATGCCGAGCGCCAGACAGGGTAAGAACAAGTACAATCTTTTAACGTTTTTTGGTATGACGCAGCCGGGGATCGAACCCCCGACCTTCCGCTTTCCGGGCGGACGCTCTGGTACTAGACCACGGAGGCGATCTGTACGGCTTGGGGGAGGCATCATCGCACATTAGGAAAAATAAGACAACATGTAATTGTTTGGTTCCATCGAGTGAAAACAAGCTTATCAAAGGTTCGGTTTATTCCATTGAGATGTTTCTACATTGTTTCAATTTAAAACATTTATTACGCTTCATGAAATATCTTTTGGAAACTTAATCAGCAAATTTTTGCAATTACTGTGAACCATTGCTGCTACAATATTACTCACCCATTCCAAAATATTCCAGCGCAGACTCTCTGGGTTTCAGAGGCATTACGTGACACTGTTGGGCGACCTGAAACGTTAAAACGATTACGGAAAGCGTACAAAATCAACAATGATGTAACACATGGAGATGCACTTGGGAGCATAGGCATTCTAAACCACCTGGCCTGCTAAAAGCGTTTTACAATTATATCAATTCTAAAAATATAAAATAATGTAACGACATTAATCCAGTTTATATTCAAAAGTGTCTTTGTGATATGGGTTCTGGGCAAAGACCTGGCAAATGCAAAGTGTTAAATATGGACACATATATTAACGTCAACGACAGAGATTGATCAGTCTCGATTAACTGCCGAAACATATTCCATTGGAAATTATATTAATTGATCACTTAAAGTGATAACACCAAGTTTGCGAAAAGATTAAACACCGAAAATGAGCATTGTGTTTCATCAGGGTACGTTAAACGCTATTTATACAAGGTGGTCCTTACGTACCGAGGATGTTCTTACATGATTAAGTTCTTAATCATATGACCTGGGAATGATTAGGGTATATCCCACTGAATGAGTTCAGGGAAATAAATAGTACATTTTAGTTAACATCAAAGTTATTTAATATTCTAATGGATGTATTGTGAAACTCAATTTTCGTCAAACATTGAGGCCAACGTTAACTCAGTATTCGTGATAATCAATGACATTGAAAATATAAACACTATGTTAATCTATATTTATGGGTTTTTTATAGAAGATGCCAATATGATGATAATTATGGTAAAATTATTCCTGATTAAGAGGGAGTGGAATATAACTATTAAAATACGTTGTCTCATATATATACACATGTTATTTTTCTGTGAAATGTAGCTTATACTGGGATACTGACTTATGTTTTGTTGCAATTATATGCTCCCACTAATATTTCTCGTTGTTAACTTTGCACGCATAAAACGTGAAAAACTATGATAGCTGTAGAGATTAAATAGTTGCTGCAAACGGAATCAAATTCATTTCTGGCACATAGCACTATTTTCGCAAAGAAGTAAAACGTCAATAATTAGAAAAAAATATATCTGTTTTCTGTGATTGATATCATTATTTATTCATGCATACAATCAATGTCCAAAATGAGCATTTACATTTCGGCAAGGCAATAGTTACTTGTTAATGCCTGAACGTTCCCCGATGAGCTTTTGTAAAGTGTATTCGGAAAACTTTCATCCAATATAAACGTCCATTATAACCAACGTCACAACGTATTCCACAAGTACAATTTAATCACACCCACGCAACGGACAAAAGCGTGTTTAATCTGGTAACACCTGCAGCCCTAATCTGTGAGCGGCAGTGCACGCACACCTAAATATACCCCCACCACGAAAATATTACATAAGCTACTGTGTAACCACGTTGACTCAATTACAACGTACAGTCAATTAACGTTAACCTTTCTGAATAGATAATGGTATCATTTTAAAGGTGGAGCATTCAATTACTTAACAACTCTTGTTAAGGATAAATGTGAATGGACGTGTATACAAACGCCAATGGGATGGAATAGTCCTTGAGAGACGAAGATTGTAAGCATGATAACGAGTCGTTGTTATATGTACCTCTGCTAAAGCTGAGTGATTGTAGGATCGAAGCCTGCGCCCGGTAGGCAGCAGGCTGAGTGAGTGCGCATGGCATCGTCAGTAGGATGGTTGTTCGGGCAGCATAGCAGTAGTTGGCTATCAGAGTTAGACCCGGGATCAACGCGATGGGCTGAGTGGGCCCGTTCCGTCAACTCTTCAGAGGTTTCATTACAAAACATATGCTTTACTGGAGCCATGCTACATGAAGCGTATTGATCCCATCAACCAATTGCTTGCAATTTTACTTTGGACAGTTTTCATGCACCAGATCCACTTTTAAGCCCTCGTGCAACTTTTTACACCAACCGGAAGTGTCGCCTGATTATGCTGTCACCGTTTGTGTTGCACGTGCTTCACGTTTTTATTCTATTTCCGGTTATTGTGTTTAATATTCCTACTGACGAGCAACGTCTTTTGGATAAAATTCTAAGTGACTACAACACAGCTTCAAGGCCTGTATACAACGCATCGGACAAAGTGACAGTAAAGTTTGGGATCACTTTAACACAGATTACTGATATGGTGAGTGCGTTGATTTTGTTTTATATGTGTGTCTGTTTTGTTTCTCATTAGGTCGACATAGACGGAAAAAGCTGGAGAAGCCTCACAGGATTCCTGATGAGCAGAAACTGCTGAGAAAACTTCTTGACAAATACGACCCTTACGCTCGTCCTGTTTACAACGCTTCAAAAACAGTTGTGGTTAAATTTGGTTTGACACTTATTCAAATCGCCGATATGGTAAGAGGTTTCTTTTTGTTGGAAATAGCAACACTGCAATCTACATGTATGTGTGCGCTTTCACAAATGTATTAATGGTTTGTTTTTTTCAAAATATGAGAAATATTATGTTTTGTCTGTGTACATGTAAGAGCAATTGTATATGTTTTTTATGAAATGTATAAAATAACATTAGTTAGCTTAACAGTGACAACTATACATTAAAATTAAAAAGATATTAACTTGCAAAGGTAGCAATTTACAGTACGACATAGGCGATAACAGTACACCAGGATTTAGATTATATAGAATTCACTTCAAAATTTCAATAACACAATTTGAAACTTCAAACGAAGGACAAAATTTTGATTCGTGCAGCTATTGCATTATCAAATAAAAAAGGCTTTGTACAGATTCCTGACTTGTCCACCTATTATAACCCTTCACTAAACAACGCAATTATAAGACCTGTTGTCGGAGCAGGGAGATGCTGACTGCTTAATAGCTATAGTTACATCTCGAGGGAACTAAAAACATGTTACTTTTTCATAATGACAGGTGCTTTTGTGATAGGCTCTGCAAAATGTCGGATTTTTGACAGGTCAATTATACTGATATCATTCCCGTAAAATGTTAAAAGTCTTTTTGAGGAATTACTTTCTGCGTTTCATATGAGCAGATTCAGAATCATTGTTGGCAGACCGTCCATCATTGTTCGTTACGTAACACGTAAGTGGAACCAATTATGTTTTTAGAATAATTTTGTTTTTGACTGAACCTTTGATAATACATCTGAATACCGCCGGGCGCTATAGTACGTTTTAAAAGATCAACATGTATAACAGAGCTTGAGATATAACTCAGATGAACATACATGTACAAGACTTACAAACAGCTGTAATGAAACGTGGTCACTCAGGACAACACAAGGAGTGATATTCCTTGCCCAGTGGCAACTTACTTGTACCTAATGTGCATGTCCTAGAAAATTGCATGGAAGCCATAACCGATATATTACACGTATGGAAAAAATATCAAAACAGAAATTAAAACGGATGCGCAATCGTAACGCACAGAAATACACAAAACGTATTTTATCGACCGCCATTACCTACAACCCCATAACTGTATCAGTAAATGTGGATTGCGGTACATAAAATCTTTTGACCTAAATAACGTACGATAATTTCGCTCAAGAATATCAAAATAGGGCGTAATAACGGATGCTTTACTACTATGCATGACTACTGCCTGATCATTCATATCATGCATTAGAGCACTTATTCCTTTTCGTGGTTACACAGTATCTCACACGGATATAATGTTGCTGTAGACCCCAATTTATTCTTTACACAGATTGAAGTGGCGTCTTTAACAAGGGACATTACCATCTTGATAGGGAGAGAGTTTTCTATACAGTCTTCAGTGTGCTGGCATGCCCTCTAACTTCAAAGACTCCTCTGGCACAATCTACACTAATGCTTCAGATTAAGTGTGAATAGTTATTATGTTTGTGTAATCTAAACAAACGAAAGAAGCATGTTATGGAGAAAATCAAAGCACAAGGGGGCAGATATGATTTTTTGTTAAGTTCAGTACGACCTTCTGAATAGCTTGCAAGTGATTGCTGGTTTAGTATTCACGCATAAAGGATCGGGAACCGTTGAGCGTTTCGGTTTACGATGTGGACGAAAGGGTGTGTAAAGATTCACCCTTGGCGCGATGCTGGTTCCACGAAGTCGTCTTTCAAATTGTAACTTGTATTCGATACATAGAACATAAAAATCGTGATTGCAATACATTAATGCCGCAGACAACGTTTGCCTACAATGAAGACATCTTATACAGTCAGATCAAAGAGTCTGCACCGAAACAAAACCAAAATTATGGAACTTAAAACGTTGATATCTGTGTAAGTACGTACATATATATATTCATAGCCCAACATGAACGATGGTTGAATGAGGAAGCATTCGATGTTATTCAATGGGCAAGGGATAAGGTTAAGGACACAAGAGTCTCCATCTTTATTGTGGCATTTGGTTGCAGGTTCTCCCACATGCGGAATTGGTTGTAAATCCGAGTCATTAATCAACATGTTGCATGGCTCCGAGTCGATGTGATATATACCCTACAGTAATGATGTATACATTTGTATTGAGCGGTTCTCATATGAGCTCATGCCAAATAAATTGGATGTATAAACATGTTATGTACTTCCAAACAATAAATCAGATCAGGTCCTGTTCCAATGCACTTCGATGGCAGTCGTTTCTTGACTTTGCTGTATCGACCCCCAAGGCTAGGGCCACTCTGACATTATCTATGTTTGAAAGAACTGGTCAGCGTCAGCACTTTTTTGTGGGAAAGACCCCAGATTACATCGGTTTTTATTATTAAGTTTCGAGAGGGAGTATGATAACGAGATCCCAACACTGTGATCAAAAAGTAGTAGGAAACGTACAGTGATATTATGTGGTTTAGTCAATTATTTGAGTTTCAGCTCTAAAGGTCAACCCCGCCATTTCTTATTACACACATCCGTATATTGAATGACAACGTGGAGAAACCCCGTGGCTTCTTGGTGGTACAGCAGCAAACCACTCATGCGTTCGTGTGACCATCATCAAGGGCAGTTAGACATATAATAGCATATAGTACCATGCTTTAGACATCTTCGAAATGCTTCGACTGACACAAACCATGACAGACGTTCACGTCAGCATGACTTTCCACTCTTCTCTCCGGATATAAATGTGTTTACACATTGCACAAAACCGTAGTAATTGAGCTTCATGGATCAGATCATTTACAAACACTGATACATACTCGACACCTGGAATGAGCACGCATCCAGCGAGGGATGCCTTAGGCCAATATCCATCGGTCAAGGGGGCAGAGGCGGGGGCGGGGTCATTAGGGAGTATACAGAGAGACTGCAACAGCTGGGATCGCCATGGCATGATACAGCAACACATAGATTGTAAATGGTTTCATTAAAATTTCAATTACAACTACGAAGTTCTTCCACAACTGTTCCAGTCTCTCAGTGCAGAGCCGCAGATTTAATTGGAACTAGAAGGAATTGTATCTTGATTGACAAGGTTGCTCGAAGCGTTAAAATAATATTAATATACTTTGGTAGAGAATAATAACCAAAGCATGTTTTTACATGTATCATTACACGAGACTTCGCGTACAAATTGAATATTACGTTACATCTAGAAACAGTCATCGGAACTGTGATGTGAAATGTTTTAAGAGCATTCTAAATGAACAAAAGTCTTACGATTTAAAAGTGACATGTTGCAAAAAGGTCACATATTACGATCTATAGAGAGTTAGATGAAAGAAGGCGACTGTCAATTTGAGACGTGACGCAGTGGCACAATACCTCCTGTGAAGCGTATTCTTAGAACTCTTCGATATCGAATTATTTTACAAAGGCATAGAAGATTATGACCGAAAGCTCTTGTCTTCAAAATTTGCTCGATTTTCCAAAGGAATTGACAGACCGAGTTCTTTTCTTGTAATGAATTTTACAGCGAGGTGTTTCTTCTTACTATGTTCGGAAGATTAACCATAACGTCAATAAACCAAAGGGTTTCTTGTGAAAAACACATTTCCAGTAGTTGCGTTTTCTTAAACGATACGTTTAGCCAAGCAAGAAAAAACGAAAAAAAGCAGACATAATTTAAAGCGAGATGTTCTTAATATGTACTTACGAAATCGTAGTGTACAAACTCGTTCTTGAAAAAATGAATGAAAATATTTTACTCCTATCTTTGTCAACACACCACGGGGATCCTAGTTGTTGAGCGTCGTTTTATAATGTCACGTGCCAATCAGGAGTCCTAGAACGAAGATTGAATATTGATTTGGAGATGGCTATCGGTGTTGGTTAGTAGATTGAGGGGACGGGAGCTAAGAGCTAGAAAGGTAGAAAACAACTAAAGATGTCCTGTATTGAAGCCTTTTGCAATATTTGTATTACGTCGAGTGTCCTCCACTCAGCAGTAACTGAGGAAAGTCAATGCTAGCTGTTTAAACACATAATGATCGGATACAGGTAATGCATAATTTATTGCATTTTGATCGTCTTGATATTTTATGCTAACAACTGGAATGACTTTCACTTGAAACATTTAACACTTAAGTCCTTTGAAAATGAACTCAACAATGTAATGATAGTCAACGAGGCTGAATAAACTCATGCCTTTTACGTGTCGGATTTCCTTAGATGTCTGCTATATTGTCAACAGGGTTAATGCTCTTCACGCCTTTGTGGCTCGATATAAGTGCTTCGATTAGCTTTCTAAAGTTTCGGGTACTGCACACCAGGATTGTTTGAATTCACCAGTGTTTTACGTTACAACAGTGATATTTGACGAGTGAACTATTTTTCAACAGATGCTATTCAGAGTCGTAAATAAGGTACCGTATATAACCGCTTCATTGGACATCCCCTTATAAACCAAATGCCTTTGGTCACATTTGGAATCAATTTTGAGGTAATATCTATGGAGCTGAATACGAGACACCCGATTCATATGCACCCTCTTCTTCACACATATTAGGGGCGGTCGGGTAGCCTAGTGGTTAAAGCGTTCGCTCGTCACGCTGAAGACCCGGGTTCGATTCCCGACATGGGTACAATGTGTGAAGCCCATTTCTGGTGTCCCCCGCCGTGATGTTGCTGGAATATTGCTAAAAGCGGCGTAAAACCATACTCACTCACTCACTCACTCTTCACAAATATTCAGGTTAATGAAGTAACCTGTTAAGAAATATAACTCTATTGTGTAGATTATCTCCCACATGCGGGATCACATCCAGACGTACCTCACTAACTTCAGAACTATTGATCGTAACACGCAACATGTCGTTGGTTATTAATCCGGTAGTTCTAGCTCCAAGATCTTCACCTCCAGGCAGATAAGGCTTTATTATACAACTCTCTACCAGACAATGCGCCCTGTACCAAAGGTTCCTTCCCTTGGGAATAAGGTATATTTGGTAAC